TGGCACTTAGTGCCATGGTCTAGTAACCATGGTGGTAGTGGATCAAGAGTTGGACTTGATGATTTCAGAGGTCCCTTCCAACCCAGCTGATTCTATGATTCTATGATTATGTTTATTCTTTGTTGATGTTATGATTCAGCCTAATGCACATCTATTACAATATCTCTACCAGTGTGCAAGGCTGTGAAGATAAGTAAAACACTCCAAAACAACCCATATACTCCTCTGTTATACCCGCATAGTAAGTAAGGGGCTTCTAATTTTAGGTGGTCTAAAAATAAAAGTGTCAAATGGGTCTCAAAACTATTTGAGCTTGGAGAGTTAAAGTTATTTCAACTCTTATTTGTAGTATAGGATTGCCCTGTACAGGAAGAAGCACATCAGCAGGTGTTCTCATGCACTGTGCTGGTTTCTACATCAGCCACAGAGCAGAGTCGTATTTCTGATATCCTTCTGCACACAAGAACTTTACTGCATAGTCAGGTTTAATGAGACATGGATTGCTGAATACAGAGTGATGAGGATGGGAAACCGACATTGAGTCTGTTCAGCTAAATTTCCAAATGAATAAGTTGCACTGAAACTTTCTTATTCCTTCATTGGCAATTTCTTCACGAACGCGTTTTCTTTATTTTATGGAAAAGAGCAGCATGGTTATGCAGTAGGACTTCAGGAGAAGGTAAGAATAAATGCCATATTTGTGATCTACAAATATAAGTATGTCTGATGCATACATATTTTATATTTTATATCTAATTTTGCATATTGTATCAGTTATTTTAGGAACACGATCCCTCCTTGTACCATCCACAAGCCACCAGTTTCAGCCACAAAAACACTTCCTCAGCAATGAAAATAATTTACAAAGGAAAGAATACTGTACTCATTATAGAATCATTAAACTTGGAAAAGACCTCCAAGACCATCGAGTCCAACTTTTTGATGACCTACTGTAAGATATGGAAATACGTATTTGCAAATGTTTACAGGGCCCTGCGTTCCCTGCTGCTGACACAGTTACCACTGTCATGTTTGAGGAGAAACAGGACAATCGGGCAGGCACTGGTACCGGGGGGAAGCCTGCGAGCCCCCGAATGTGTTCCTATAGCTCACAAGACCCACAGGATCTCCGTGGAGGGGCAGAAACACCCGCTGCCTCCCCTCCTCACCTGCTTGGCGTTCTCGATGTACGCAGCCATGTACTCGTAGGCGGCGGCCTGCGCGTTGACGCGGGTCTCGGTGCCCTCCACGGGCAGGGCGAAGCTGTCCATGATGATCATGGTCTCCCCGTCCACCTTGCCCAGCATGAGCCCCATCACCTCCAGGTTGCCGCCGGACCTGGCGTGCATCACCATCTTCAGCAGCGCCAGCGCCGAGATCTTGCAGTACTTGAAGTAATGGTGGCTGCAGCGACACAGAGGCCGCGGGGGGAAGGCAGAGCCGTCAGACCAGGATCCTCGCAGCCCGTCCCGCCCGCCCCGCCGGCCCCGCTCCCACTCACTCCTTGGTCCAGGGCTTGGCCGCCAGGATCTCCTGCTGCTGCTTGCGGTCGTACTTGTAGATCTCGTCGATGCTCTGCGCCTCCTGCATGTTGTTCGCCAGCTCCCACGTCTTCTGCGCCATCCCGCTCCCGGAGGCGCTGCTCCCCGCCCCCGCCATC